GCGATGCCCAGCCCAACAGCCACCATCCTCAGGGGTACTGGCTACCTGAAATATGGCCAGTGCCATTGAGGTAGGGGGTTTTAAGATTAATTTAATCTAACTTTAATTCACTTAAGTAGACACATGTGGCTAGCAGATGCTGTATAGATGGCACGGCCCTCAGTTTCAGTGGGACTTCTGTAAAGATCACATCATCTCCTGTGCATGACACAGAGAAACATGGGCGGCTGGCAGTAAGCTGGGGTGCTCCACACTGGGCTATAAGGCCACTCTCAGAGCGGGTAGCAGATCCCCGAGCACTGAGAGGTCTTGAGTGAGTGCGGAAGGGTTCAGTGACTCACTCGATGCCTGTCAGTATTTTTCCCAATTTGAATAAGAGCTCTTGCCGGCGGGCCAAGCAAACGTGTAGATAAAAGCCCCAGAGACTGCCACCAGCCTGTAGAAGAGCACTGGGCTCCCTAAAGATCCTGACAGGCTGCAGCTATGGGCACAGGGGATGGGCAGTGTGGACCAAACACGTCCTGCATGTGGCTTTAGAGTCCAGCCCTTCAAGGCCACACAACAGAGTGTGTCCTCACAGCCATGCATACCAGGGGCTCTGGTTAGCTCCGGGTATAAACACAGGGTGACATGCATGACCAAAAAGCAAATGGGAACCTGGACTGGCTTGGGGAGGAGGGCAGGGCTGTCTTAGCCTCCACAGGGACCATGAGATCAAGCCTGAGGTCAGGGAGGGGAGCAGAGCAGCCACACCGGGAGAACAGCAGAGGGACCCGTGCATCAATCTCCAACACCGCCATCATTTATGGACCTCACGGTTAAAATCAGAACGGAGCTGTAAGTTGTTAGGGACACTCCAGGTTCCACACAGGCGGGACATTCTCATGGTGTGAAAGATGCTAGTGTGGGATGGCAGTCTCCGGAGGACTGACTTGCCTCGACTGGGGGTTCAAAGGGAGCCTGGACGCTAGTCAGAAGGGTGTAGAGGGGCTGGGGGCTCAGAAGGCACAAGGCCCTGAACCTCTGTGGTCCTGTGTGCAGTCTGACATGTCCCTGTAGTGACCAATAGCAGGAGGCCCACATGATCACTGGGCCTCGGGCTGATTAGTCCTATATGAGACCCGAGTCCTCACACATCCAGGCCCTTGAGCTGTCCGTCCACTGGGGGCTCACAGCAGAAAAGGCAGGTCCCTCTTTTAGACAGCAAACTTATCAAAAGCTACCTGGGGGAGGTGGAATAAGGCACTTGGGTATTTATTCCCATCTGCTCCCTCTCACTTCTCGTCGTCCCGCCCATAGTTAATAGTTTGTAAGGCCTGAGCTATGAGCATCGCCATCTCGCGGGTGCCAGCAGCAACCACTCTGCAAGACATGAGGTCAAGGGGTCCACCTGGACAGAGGGAGACAGCGGACACGCAGGTCATGGATAGCGCTGAGCAATCTTGTAGGACAATTTATCTTGCGCACACAAGGACAGCAGTACATGGGCCCATGCCCGAGTCCTAAGGTCTACACTAAACAGGGGGTCTAGAAGGGAATCTGGCCAAGAGAAGAAGGATGGGGCCCCTCACCCAGTTTGAATGCAGTCCAGGGCTGTCCTGAACCAACCCGTCCCTGGAGATGCTGGGAGAACATGAAGTCCAGCATCCAGGACTGAAACTCAGGGTGGGTTAGACCAGAATGGGGGAGCAGTCCTCCCCAAATGTCAACAGGACTGAGGGGTGAGAATCTGCCTTCCCTATTGGCTCCTGGTGCTACCGCTGCTCTGGGGACCACACTCTGAGCAGCTGGGGGTACATGATGAAGCCCTGTATCTTTCTGTGGGTGTATGACACAGGACTGACTGCATGGCTAGAGGCCTACTTGCACATACCCGAGCCCCGAGGTGCTCACGTGGTAAAATCCAGAGTGTCTGATGCTTTTTTAATGTGAAACTGGCCTGCCTAGTCTTGCTGCCTAAGGCTGATACCTCTTCATTTTTATATCTTCCTGGTAGCTCAATTAAGGCCTTTCAAAGAAGAAATAGGAAAAAAGTAGAGGTCAAATCACAAAAGATACACTGTGCATACCCAAGAGTTAAAAGTGAGCCACAGGCTTCTGCTAACAAGCTCAGGGTTCAAAGCTAGGTGAGAATGGGATCCAGCAGGGGCTGGCCTGGGCTGTAGCTGCTGTTACTGACTGCTGGATGCATGATCTGCCTGTGCTAAGTGGAGGTGGCAGGGAGCGCAGGGGCTCCCAGGAGGGCTGTCACCAGGACTCGCACAGCCTTGAAGCAAAAGGGACAGGTTGCCTTCTGGGTCCATACTCTACGGTCCAGGCCACTCAGGCTGCGCACTGGTGCTGCTCCAGCTCCAAGCCACGGAGCCTCGGGGAAGCACCTAACCTCAAAACTAGGCAACGTGCCACCTGCTCCATCCTGATGGCCTCTCATGGGGTATGCAAGTACTCGTGAGGGTGTAACACGCAGTACTGCTGTTACCGTGAGCCTGTGATCTGAAGGAAGGCAGGAAGGGAACCTGTCTGGGGTAGGGCCACTGCCAGCACAGCATCCTCACCTGGTCTCAGCAGAGCTCGGGGATGTGGGGAAACTCAACATCGTGGGACCTAAAGAAGTGCCGGGGACAGGAGGGGGGACTCAGGCAGGAGAGCTCACCCGAAGTGTCCATCACAATGCCGCCCGCCTCTCTGATGATGACTGTGGCAGCTGCCAGGTCCCAGCAGTGCAGGCCAAACTGGTAGTAAGCATCTGCTGCCCCTGAGGCCAGGTGGCAGAGCGCCAAGGTGGAGCTTCCGATCACACGGACCCTGGGGAAAGGGACAAGAGAATGGATGCGGGCAAGAGCAGATTGCACTTGGCACCAGAGCGCTCTATGCCGTGTGCATGCTGATGTCACACTGTCACCCTCAGAGTCGAGCCACCAGATTCTGCCAACAAGTTCTGGTGTAAATTCCAGGGTCAGGGTCGTACCAACCAATAGCCCTCTCTGCAACGACGCAGACGCCCTGCACTGCCTAGCGCCAGCCACGCAGGGCTACTGAGCATTCAAAGCACATGCTGCAATGAGACAAATGGATTTCTAATTCTACTGAACTTTACATTTAAGTCGCCTCATGTGGCTGGTAGTTACAGCACAGACTAGAGGGAGGGCAAGTGACAAAGAGGATTCATTTGGGCTTTAACAGACATTTAGGAAGAATAAATGAGAGTAACAGTCTGTCTGAAGCCAAGGTTCAGGAAGGACTCTAGCTACACATGGGATCTGCTGGTTGAATGGCCTGAGAATCAACTTGGATTCTTAAAATGCTGGTCAGAAGGGACAATGGTCCTGCCCATCTCCTGGTGCCAGCCAAGCCTGAAGTCACGGCCTCTCTTGGAGGGCACGTGCCCCGCCGGCTCCCACCATGCAGGGGCTCCTCTGCAACTCCCTGGGCAGTTCCAACAGGACTGTGTGCGTGGTTCTCCCCTCTGGCCACAGATGTCCCAGAACTGAAGATCCTACCCATGAGCCTTGGCGTGGAGCAGCCGCTCCATGTTGCTCAGGAACAGTTTCAGGGTGGCAGGGTCACGTCTGGGGCCAATTTCTGTTAGAACCAAGGCTTTTGAGAGATCTGCAGTAGAAAGAACAGCCCACCATCAGAAAAATCAAGTCTTGGCTGAAAGCAATACACGAATAACGCTGCACCTCCCTTCCACCACCATGTCTTTCCAGCTGCCTTCTGTTCCGGATTTCCAAGGGAGCCTGCTGTCCAGTTCTCTCTCTTCTCAGGGATACTTTGTCTCATGCAGGTAGCACAAAGGCCTTGGAAGAATTTGGTGGCTTATGAAAATCACCATCATTCAATCACAAATAAAGCCAAAATGACTCCAAACTGAGAACACCAATGTTTGGGGGGAAAAATGCCTCATCAAATAAATCTTTCCAAAAGGTTTTAGTAAAAACATTTCCCCAACTGCTGTGATCACAAAGATGGAAATGGCATGCCTGTGGAGAAAGCAACTTCTAAATAACAACGTCTTTGCAAAGGGAAGCTTTTGGAGCAGCCCCCATGGGCACAGGGGCAGCTGGCGTGGGCACAGTGGCAGCTGGCCGGCCTGGCTCATGGGCATTGGGGACGTGCCTGGGACTCCGTCCCCGTCCTGACTCACTGCTGGGGATCAGAAGTGGTTTGTCCTAACTTTGCCAAACATCCAAACACAGCCCAACCTATGTCATGTCCCGTCAGGCCTCCTGTGCAGGCACAAGGCAACGATGACAGGTGTGCCTGGAAACCCCAACAAAGCCGCCACCCGTGCAGGGACAAACGCCTCCTGTGCTGCTTCACTCAGTGACCCGATTCTGTATTGGCCTGTGAAACAATCCCCTCACCTAGGAAATCTCTCAGACAGACTCCATACACACCTGTCCCCTTTCTTACACTGGAGCTTCATTTTGGACTTTAAACACCTTCTGAAAATCTCCTGCCAGCACACCAAAGCAGTGCCTCCAGGAGGTCTGAATTAGTCACTGCCCGACACACCCAGCACTGAGGCTGGGCTGACCTGCACCTCCCAGGTGTCGCTACAGACACCGCCCCAGGCGCTGGCAGCTGCACCACCCACGCGGCAGAGTGAGGCCTGCTGGGGCCCTTGTGGGCAGGGTCCACTGCAGTTCTCCGTTGTTCACTCTCCAACCCCGCCCTGGCTTGGCTACAAACCGAGGTGGTGTTTTTCCGAGGAGGAGGAGAAAAAGACATCAGAAAGGCCAGGCAAAGTAGGCACTCAGTAAGCAGTTACTGAATGAATGAACACTTCCCTTTAAACACCAGCATTTAAAAAACACTGATTAGAGTCTTTTTGTCTGGGGTTGCTTTGTTAAATTACGAGTACATTAAATTTATGGGAGGAATTTTTTGTCTTAATTGAAGCATCATTGATTATACATACTTGTGGTGTACAAAAGTTGACTATCAATAGTTGTGTACAATGTGTGATGGCCAAATCAAGATAGTCAGCTTATTCACCATTACAGTGTGTAATCACTGTCCATTTACCAATTTCTCATGAACCCCCCTCCCTCTTCCCCTCCCTCTCCCTACTTCCAGTAGCCACCATTCTGTTCTCTCCTAAAAGTTCAACGTATTATTGTGATTGTTATTTCCTTCTCTCTCTCTCTTTATTGTTTGTTTATTAAGGCAGCTCACATTTATGTGTGAGGACATGTGGTATTTCTCTTTCTGCACCTGGATTGTTTAATTTAATTTTCTTCAGGCTCGTCCATGTTGCTGCAAATGGCAGAATTTCATTCTTTTTTTTTTAATGGCTAAGTAATATTCTACTGTGTATACATACCACATTTTTCTTATCCAGTAATCCATCAAGGACATTTAAGTTGGTTCCATAGCCTGGCTGTTGTAAATAGAGCTGTGATAAACATGGGAGTGCAGGTGTCCCTTCGACATGATGATTTCCATTCCTTTGGGTATGTACCCAGCAGTGGGATTGCTGGATCACATGGAAGTTCTATCTGTAGTTGTTCGAGGAACCTTCATATTGTTTTCCATAGTGGCCGCACTAATTTACAGTCCCATCAACAGTGGAGATTGGTTACTATAGGAGGAATTTTCAAGTTAAGAAGAATTTTGTTGTCTAAGAATCTAATACTACATACAACGCTGCTTTTTGGGGAAATTAATTCTGAATTATAAATATTTTAGTTAAAAATGCTCTTTTGAAAAATAATATACTGTAATTTGAGGAGTGCCTGTTAAGTTAAAATTAAAAATAGAAATTGAACTCAAAAAGAAGAGATACGGAGACAAACAGCATATGAAAAGACGCTCCACATCATACGCCATCAGGGAACTGAAAAGTAACACACCAAGATACCACTACACACCTATCAGAACAGACAAAATCCAGAACACTGACAATACCAAATGCTGATCAGGCTGTGAAGCAACAGGGACTCTCACTCGTTACTGGTGGGAATGAAAAATGGTACAGCCACTTCGGAAGACAGCGTGAAAGTTTCTCAAAACACTACACACATTCTTACTGCACCATCCAGTAAATCACACTCTTTGGTATTTACCCAAAAGAGATGAAAATTTATGCCCATGCAAAAACCTACACACGGATGTTTATAGAAGCTTTATCCATAACTGCCAAACTTGGAAGCAACCATGGCGTCCTTCAGCCGGCGTCCTTCAGCAGGTGAGTGGACACACAAACTGTGGCGCGTCCAGACAAGGGAGTATTGTTCAGCACTAAAAAGAAACGAGCTGTCAAATCATGAAAAGACACAGATGAACCTTAATGCACATCACGAAGTGAAGGGAGACAGTCTGAAAAGGCTGCGCACTGTATGATTCCAACTCTGTGACATTCTGGAAAGGGCAAAGCTATGGAGACAGTGAAAAGATCAGTGGTTGCCGGGCTGGTGGGGAGGGATGAGCAAGAGGAGCACAGGGGATTTCGAGGGCAGGGAAACTCTTCTGCATGGTACTACAGTGGCGGGCACGTGCCGTCATACACTCGTCAAAGCCCACAGAATGTGGCTTTGGTGATGGCGAATCACAAAGCTAGCTGTGCCCTCTGGGGGATATTGATGTGTCCGTGTAGGTTCGATTTGTAGCAAATGCACCATGCTGGTGGGGTGCTCGCAGTGCGGGCCGTGCGTGGGGGTGGGGGGCATGCGGGAAGTCTGTCTGTACCTTCAGCTCGATGTTGCTGTGAACCTAAAATTGCTCAAAAACAAAGCCTATGTAAAAAAAAAAAAAAAAAAAAAGTTGGGGGGGGGGGGAGGAAG